TTGTTAAAAGCGCTATATAAATAAAGGTGACTTGACTTGAGTTGACTTAAACAGTCTGCCCTCTAGGTACTGTGCCTTAACTCCAATCTCAAATTGATAGCGTTTAGTGTGATAGCGTTTAGTGTCTCATTCTAACTGAATTTACTGCAGCTATCACAAGAACAATGTGACTCAAATCCCAACAGATTCTTACAGTTGGCAGGATTTCTTCGCTGCCAGTACACAAATAAAAATTATGAACAACAGGGTTTCTTTGCTGTTGTTATACAAATTTCACTTGATCAAGGTTTTAAAAGCTCCCATTTACATTCCAATCAGTTATTGGCTCGCAGTGTTCTTATGATCAGATCTGCAATAGTCACGCATTAGTCAGCTACTCTAATGGTTAAACCTAAGGGAGTGAGATCGTCTAGCTGAATGAAATTGGAATACGCAATGACTTCAATCTAGTGATACAATCAGATAAGGCCTTTAAAAGATGATAAGAGGAACATCGCTCAAATCAGTCTTTATCGCAATGCAGGAAGATTTCTTCGTTCCAACAGGGGATTTTGATAATATTAAAATGTACTGTAAAGAGATTTCTTTGTCTTTAGAGAACAATTTTAATATTATGAACTGCAGTTTACTTTAACAATTAACAGTGACTAAATGTTAGACAAATAGAGGCTGTTAAAATACGGTACTGGAGGTGGCTTTGAACCTTCCAATCAAAAGAGTGAGTTCGCGTTGCGACTTGTCTCACTCTAAGCGCGGATAATATAAGAACACAAATAAATTGATACTGAGTTTGCTCACAAACAAAGTTTGAATGTCGCCTGCATTCTCCACCAAATATGTAGCAAATCAGCTCAAAAGGGATATATTTATGACTAATTATAACTGGTTATGATTAATAATAAATATTTAGTTTAGATCTTGTAATTAACTGTAGCAGAGTCAATATTACAATTATTTGATCTGTCCGTCCACCGAGCAGACAATATAATCATTTATCAATTCAAGGAAAGATTATTTTCCTGGCCAAGGAACAATAGCTTTCCTTCTTTATGCAGTACTAGCAGTAATTTAGCATGTAGCAAAACTTCAAACATTGTTTCTGTGTGCTGCTCACAAGTCACTGAATCAATTGTGAATACAAGGGATTTAATAAATGAAACTATATCTAACATATAACTAAACTAAACAAAACTATGCTTAAACACGCATCTAAATAGTTGTAAATGGTTACTTGCATTGGCTTCGATTGCTGAAAAAGAGTCCTGATGCTGTAGACAACAGAGGTTCTTTTAGAAGTGAGCTGGAAGTTTTCCTCTGGTTCTTCTGAAGATAGGAAAGTCCACAGTGGATCGACAGAGTTACTTGAAGATGAAAAACTGCCGGAAAATCTAACTCAACAGGAGAGTTTTGAGGAGTCTTGGATAGAGTCCGTCTCAAAAGAAGAGGATTTTTTTGAGCAGAGATTAGCCTGAGCTAATGACTTTCATAGTTCCTATCCACACCCTCCTTTTGGGTGGAATAGCCAATACCAGGCATGAATTTTTGAGCAGAAGTTTTCTTTGTCTCCCTTTATGGCCCATTTGCATGTTTATGGCCGGTCTGGAGGACTGGTACAGTTTTACCCAAAATATAGTACCAATCGTATGATGCATTTCACAATCACATACTGTACATCATTGTTTGAGGAATACAGAGCAGATCATATTGATACCAAGAAAGAAACATTTAGAAGATATTAAACCAGAGATACATTCATACACCTGAATATCCGCGTTTAGGGCTTAACTAATACAAATAACGAGTGGTAACTCCGCTAATCTAATAGGGAAACATACACACAACACATGCATATACCAGATACATTTGTAACTGATTAATTATTGTCTAAATAAAGAAAAGGTCTATATGTGTGTGTGTTGTGTATTGTGTGTATGGTGTAGTTTGCAGGTCTGCCAGGCCCATTGGTGCCTGGCCCCAGGGGTCATTTACATCTCTTTGGAATGTGTTTGAAGTCAGATGGGGAGATGCGAGTGGTGGTTTTGTGACATTTTCTCCTGATAACGCAGAAAATAACTTAAATTACACTTTCAGTTTTGATCATACAGATACATCAATCGAATCTGTAAAGGGTCTACTTTTATTTTTATACACTCATAATAACGACAAAACGCTGTGCTTTTGTAGAATAAAGAAAATAAACAGGGTGCATTCTCTGCCATCTATCTCTGTCACCTCTCTTCAGACACATAAATAAAACAACCCGAATCTCAGCGAATACTTGCCTCAAAGACAAGATAAATATATGTATAGAAAGCTTGAAATGTCTAGTTTTAAATTAACCAATTCAAGTCGAAAACAAATAATTAATTTTTATGTAATCCGTATGAAAGTAAGGAGTGGTCCAGTTTCTCCCGTATCGCCTCATTATAGCTAATGTGTTCCCGCCTTGCTCTGAGCGCGCTGTTCATATGGAAATGAACTGAGGCAAGCCAGGTAATCATGTACACGAGAAATGGCATAAAACGTCAAACTTCATCATAGAATTACTTACTTTTTCTGCGCGTTTGCATGATGGCACGCTACACGGGTGAAGAAGCACTTCAGATGGTTCTGGACAGCGACGAAGAGTTTACTTTCTCCTCAGAGGAAGAACGCGACTCAGATGATGAACGTTTGCATTCTGAAGAACGTTTGGACACAGCGGAGGATATAATTCCTGACGAGTAAGCCTTTTATTATTACCTTTATGATTTAAAATGTTGCTCAGCTATAGCCTATTTTATATCTAAATTTGAAAATTTCCAAACAGGCTATTGTCAGATTAAAATAAACTTTTCAGAGTAAAATTGGTTGAAATATGAAATATCTCCTTAGTTTTGAATGTTGTACAAAGCGCGTATATAACTATATATAATGATGATATATAGCCTATATAATGATACATATACAGTGGGGCAAAAAAGTATTTAGTCAGCCACCAATTGTGCAAGTTCTCCCACTTAAAAAGATGAGAGAGGCCTGTAATTTTCATCGTAGGTATACCTCAACTATGAGAGACAAAATCAGAAAAAAAATCCAGAAAATCATAAAATATATATAATGCTATAGGCCGATATAAACATAAATATAATATTTTATATCGCTTACAAAAATTAACCATGGTTTTATGTATTTATTTACTGTTTAGACTATATTTTTCCAAATGGTGAAATTGTTCACCAACTAGCTTTTGTTCGCGAATATCTGATGTGGTAAATATTTTGAATGCGTTATACCCGGCTATTGGCGTTAGCGATCGTCCGAGGTGTAAATGTCACTGATAAGTGGCCCATCGACAGACATATACGTGCATCTATTCTTATCAGTGATGCAATTTATTATCTGTTATGCATCTTCTGGTAATTGTTAACAACAGTTTCATTTTTTGTTTAGGACTGCGGCTGCATCACCGGCATTTTGCACAAGAAAGGCATGCGAGTGTCGTTCAGTTTTGAGTTCGCTGGAAAATCATACTGAGTAAGTGCACAGTTTAGTGTATAGTAATTGTTTTTATTATGCCTATATGGTAATATTATTTGTGGTTGGGATAACACAATAAGTAAATCTTCCTGTATGGGTTTACAGAAATTCTACTTTTGTTATGCTTATATCCCACATGAAAAAATACTATAGTAATTTATAGTCAATACTATAGTTTTTTTGTACCATACTATAGTAAAGTGTATTACACTGTATATATTATAGTTTTTACAACAGTAAAACTACAACAGTAAACTGCAGTGTATTGTAGTATAATATACCCTATAGTTGTAGAAAACGAAGTACAGTATTGGGTAAAGTCATTTGTTTTTTATTACTATAGTTGTTATATTACCACAGCAACTATAGAATTACCACAACAAATTAAATCAAGTACTTTACTGTAGTATGGTATTCTGTTTTCTCATCAAGTACGCATATACTAAGGTACTGTGAAAAATAAATGCTAACATTTGTTTACAACACTTTTTAGGACTGTGAATACACCACTCTCGCCTTCACCTGCACGTGCAAAGGGCCATAAATATAAATGGACAGACGTCAGCATCAGTGAGCTGTACTGCTACTTTGGGCTACTCTTCTACATGGCCATGCTGAAGTTGAGGTCCATCAGAGACTACTGGCAGCAGGACAATCACCCAGAGATCACCCAGGAGTTGAGGGACTGGACTTCGGGATGAGACAGGTAGGATTTCAGGACTGATTTGGTGTTCATCGGAGGAGTGGCAGACGACCAAGACAGCACTTTCGGGGATTTGAGTGGTTTTGTTAGCAGGTGTTTGTTGGACGCTACTGTGATCTGAAGCATCAGGTGTTGAGATAGTGTCTAACTCTGTTGCTGGGTGCTCAGGTAGGATTTCTTGTCCATCTGAGGTTATGGTTGTTACGGTTCTCTGAGAGTGAGGTGAAGAAGTGCTGTTCTCTGTGGTTTGTTGGGTTATGTGGTCGCTGCCTTCTCTTCTGGCTGCTAGTCAGGCGGAATCTGGTTTCTCTTTCTTTTCCCACTTCCGATCATCCTCTTTTCGTTGAAAGAACTCTTTCATCATCATTTTCATCAGTTCTTGTGAGTCGAAACATGGTGATGTCTTTTGTTCTTGTGTGGATTCAGTTTGAGTTCCGTCAGCTTGGAACCTTTGTGAGTTATTTTGTTGATTCCTTGGGCTGGTTGCTCTAGGGTGTGTTTGTCGTTTTCCCTTGGAGGTTCTGTTGGATTCCCACAAGCTTTTCCCTCTTGAGTTTCCAAATTAGGTTGGCTGGTTCCACGATTGCTCCCATTGATTCTCATGAGGTCTTGATTGGTCCCATGATTTCTCCCAGTGGCGTCCAGGTGAGTGTTGTCGTCCATGCGATCCGTCCCAGCGGTTACTTCTCTATTTAGGTCGGGTACCAGTATGGGAGTCCCATTCTCTGTTGGACGAGGATGCTCTCCATTCTTTAGGTGGCAGCTTGATGCTTTCTTGATGTTGGGCGCCCTCTGGAGCCAGCCCCTTACTTTGAGTGTTGAAGTTAAGAACTACTGTGGTATTGGCGCCCTTTTCTGAGGCCATCTTTTGTTTGCCGTAGGCTTTGTGTGCCATGTCTCACAACTGCTGAGCATTCATTGTGCGTGGACTTGTGAGAACACCAAGATGGTGGCTTACCCCAGAATGAAGGTTTCTCAGGAAGAGAGTTTTAAAGTTCAGGTCCTCTTCCATGTCAGGTTCGTGGCGAGCTCCGAAGTATGCTCGTCTGAGTCTGTTGTAGTAGGCTTGAGGAGCCTCATGGTGACCCTCTTTGGTCTCAAGGGCAGCCACTAATCCTTGTTCTGACTCTGGGTCTGCGAATTCTTTAATGAGGGCTTCTCAGAGCAGGTGATAATCAGTCTTTGTGTGAGCAGGCTGCCGGTCTAGGAAGCTGCACATTTCAGGGCCGGATGTTGTTCGGAGCAAATAAAGTCTATCATTGTCAGTGATATTGGGTCTCATCTCCAGGTGGAAGTCAATGTCTTGCAAATAGGTCTGGACGTCGTGGTTACCTGGCACACTCGGGGTGAATTTTCCAATGTTCCTGGCTAGCTTGTCAAGGTCTTTGAGGTCCAAGCCATGCCATGATCTGTGGCTGGCTGGACCAAGTTCTTTCAGCTTGGGTGAGAGGTAGGGTTCTTCAGAGGGAGCTGGTGAAGGTTTCAGCACCACCCCCTCACCCTTTTCACTACGTGTCAGTCCAGGAACAGGGCACCCGGTCCTGCTTCAGCAGGGGTGAGACTGGTGCCCGTCATGTCCTTGACGGCTCATGGCGCAATTCATAGCCGTGTTTGAGTTCCTCTTTGACACTGTCGGACTCCTCTTTGATGTAGTCCATCTGTTGTGTTAGACGGCTGATCTCAGTTCTCAACTTATCCAGGTGAGTCTCAAGGGCTTTAATTCTGCTGTTCTTGTTTCTGAAGTCAGCCTTTGCCTTTTCCAGTAGCTGTTCTGCATACTGTAGCTTGTTGGAGAGATCAGTGTAGTCTGCCTTGCCTTGTTCCATTTCTTGGGTAGTAGCTGCCAGGGTCACTTGTAGCCTGGTGATCTATCATGGTTCTTCCTGTCATTCTTGAGCCTCCAGTTCTAGCTGTTCGATGCGTCGTTGGGCGCGTGTCAGCTCCTGCTGGAGATGGGCAGTGTGCCTGTCGCTCAGCTTGAGGGAAGGAAAGGTAGGATGAGAGTCAAGTATTCAAGTTTCACAAATATCTGTTAAAAGTTCTCTGCTTTTATGATTCTCACAGGTACAATCCCAAAAATAGCAGCAGTAGTCAACTCAGAAGAGGACAGCTGAGAGAGAGGAGAAGAAAGAGGGTGAAGTTCACTCCCAATGTTAGGAAAAATGACAAGGTTGACAGAGTGGTGGGGCTGTTGGGTCGATACACCTAGGGGGTTGGTTTTGCTGTGTTAGCAGGATAAAACTAACTGACCTAAGTATTGAGGAAAACCCCAATTTTCCTTTGGGGTTTTGCTAACTTGATGGGCCAATGCTCTTATAAACTAGGCTTGGTGACGAGTTAATTAAATAAATGAAGGAGAGAAAAGAAGGTCTAACAGGTAGGGAAAAAACTTAAAATCCATAATGATGTCATTAAAAATTATAAGAGCAATTATAATTAAACTAATCAATAAGTATTATTAAAGTAGGGAAGCCCAAACCCTAATTAACTACAAATGAAACCAAAATTTCAAAGCAGTAATGATAGAAAATTAGTAATATTTATTGATGTCATTAAAATTGATAAGAGCAGTTACAACTGAATTAATCAAAAGGTATCATTAAAGTTCTGAGGGTGAGAACCATAATTAATTGCTAATAAAACCAACAGCTTATGTCAGTTTAAACTGATAGAGTAAACAAGCTGAAGGGGGAAGGACAAACCGTAAATAAACTTGATCAAAAGTTAACTATGAGATGCTAACTATGAGATGGTTGGTTACAATCGCATACAGTGAGGCTATTAAGTTTGAAATTGTCAATATTCTTTTCAATGGGAGGAGAGGAGAAAAGAGATAAGATAAGTGTAGAGAGAAATGAGGTGAAAAGCCCACTAGTGTGAGTTAAAGTTCAGATGTAACTGATTACACTTCAACACTGCCAAAACACTGCATTCAAACCCAATAGACCACAAAATGCTACATGCTAACTGCTAGCCTTCAATGCTAATGGTCATACTTAGACTTAAATGCAAATGCATTAGCTTCAGTTAGCTTAGCTATGCTAGTGTTTGTTTACAAACAGCATCAATATGGCACTAGCAGACTGTGCCTGCACACCTGAAAGTGACCCCGGAAAAGGTTTCTTAGGACTTCCGGGTTATGGCTGTTGCTATGGTGACAACAGTAAACCAGCATGTGAGTTGCACACAGTTTACGTGCATCATGTGAAATGACAGTGCTTTTTGGTTGTTCAGTGTGAAACGCACAATTTAGATTCTTTCTATTTCAACTCTTTAGAGTGAAGTAACTTTATCTACAGATTTACTGCAGTTAATACAATAACGTTATTGTGACATCTGCGGATCTCAGCTCTTTGTGTTAGCCTATTAACATATTAATGCTGTGCAACTGGCTGTTGGACTTCCTGACTGGAAGACCTCAGGCAGTTCGGGTCGGCAGCAACACATCCAGCACCATCACACTGAACACTGGGGCCCCCCAAGGATGTGTGCTGAGCCCCCTCCTCTTCACTCTGCTGACCCACGACTGCACACCGTCACACAACTCCAACCTCCTTATTAAGTTTGCGGATGACACGACTGTAGTGGGTCTCATTAGCAACAGAGATGAGACAAACTACAGGACCGAGGTGAGCCGCCTCTCTCTGAATGTGGAGAAGACGAAGGAGATTGTTGTTGACTTCAGGAGAGTGCGCACTCAGCATGCTCCTCTGACCGTCAATGGTGTGACTGTGGAGAGGGTGAGCAGCACCAAGTTCCTGGGTGTGCACATCACAGAGGATCTCTCCTGGACTGACAACACCACAGCACTGGCCAAGAAAGCACAGCAGCGTCTCTACTTCCTCCGCAAACTGAGAAGAGCCAGAGCCCCAGCCCCCATCATGTGCACCTTCTACAGAAGCACCATCGAGAGCATCCTGACCAGCTGCATCACTGTGTGGTACGGCGCCTGCCAGACAAAAACGCACATGGATTTAACCACACAATTTTACTTGATCAAGATTTCACAATTCTCCCATAAAGCAACGTTCAGGCACTCTCTCGGAGCGCCGTGTCTTAAGTTCATTAGTTTTTAGTGAATTAAATGGCAAAAGAGCATTAATTAGCTAAGATAATGGTCTCATACCGGGAGATAGCCTAGTTGTTTCAACATTGGGACACACAATGTGAATCAATCTAGCTACAAACAAAGCCTAATAAGAGAAGGAAATGAGGAATCACTTCTCTCTTCATGCGCTTTATAGGGACTTATTTTTGTCTCAGCAGACAATTCTTAAAGGGGTCCTATTATACTTTTTACATTTTTGTCAGTGTGTATGTTTGGGCATAAAAAAGATCTAGAAAGTTACAAATCTCAAAGTCCACTCCAAAGGAAGATATTTAGATTTTTTTTTAAATTCCTTTTCAATAACTACAACGAACGGCTCATTTGGACTACAGCGTTTGTTTTCCGGGCTTTGTGATATCATAACGCGGCCCATTAGAATATCATTACAAATAATTCCCGCCTACAGAAATGTGAATGGTTGGGGGGTGGGGAGGGGCGAGGTTGTGGTTAGAACGCTTGGTTGAGTGAGTGCATCAGACGAGACGACGAAGAAGAAGTGCTGCTGCAGAGTTATTGCATCAGAGAAAATGGAGAAGAGCTGCTGTGCTATAGCTTAAAATTTTCGGCATGTCTAGAACAATTCTTACAAGTATAACACGACGTAGCTGGGCGCCGCAGACTGACGGCGAATGGCACCGCCGGTGTGCCCACACTCATAGAAAATAATGTATTTGAATTTTAAAGATGTGGCGCAACGCAACATTGCACTTCTCGTCTGGTGCGCGACCGCCTGAAATGCTGTTTTTTTCACCTCCGTGCCCAAACGTCTTTGTTTGGGCTTCCGAAAGCGGATGATGTCAGGAAACAGTGGTTGCAATTTATTTTTTAACTCTGTCCCTGAGCATTATAACCCCAATTTGCTATTGTGTGCTGCGCATTTTACTGAGGACAGCTTCCACAACACGAGGGAGTACAGTGTAAAAGCCAAAAGCTTTTGTTGAAAGAGGGAGCAAGGGGCGTGGCAGTACTGAAACACCGTCTAAGCTGTTCGCCAATCACAACGCACTGGGACAGCTAACCAATCACAACACATTTTGTTTTTCGGAAGGCGGACCTTCATCAAAGCCGGAACTAATCGAGCCGTTTGTGCCAGGCTGGGGAGAAAGGTATTTTAATAATGTAAATTATGTGAAAAATAATGTGTTTTTCGAACCACCAAGCATGAGAGCATGTTCTAGTACACCCCCAAAACAAAATCAAGACTTTTTGACACGTGTTTGCCTGACAAAGGTCTTTGACTGAAACGTTGCTATTTTTAACTTTTTTGAATAAAGGGAGAATAACAGTGTGCAGATCTTTTTTCTATACTTTCATACATTCAAACACGCTGGCAAGCCTTAATAAAAGTATACAGTAACACAACAACTCTGTTTCTCTGTCTCTAATCTATCTTCCCGGACAAATAGAACAGATACAACACAAAATGACTTGGTGTTATGAATTATAAGCTAAATTTTCCTACATTCTCCACCATTATATGTAAGGAATTAGTTCAAGTTCAAAGGGAATCGAATCCAAAAATTCCGAATCAACTTGATTCAAAATTGATAGTTTTCAACTATTCGTCCAGCGAAACGTTAAAATCAGGATATCTTATCAATTTTGATATTTATAATATTCCCTTGGCCAAAGGTCATAATACATGCTAGCAAATTCTTTTTTCTGAACTAGGTAACAAGATCTGGGCAAACGTTTAGCTTTATAAATACACAACACCAGACACTGCTTCTTTATAATGAAACAAGAATTTACTGTTTGCTACTCTAGGATACATGAAACTACACTACTGAAAGCACACACAAACATACAGTTCAGAGAATGAGAGTTACTGAGTTTGACTGAAGTCCCAAAAGTCTAGTATTTGCTACTAGTTCTTAAATCGCAACCTGAGAAAATCACAAAAGCAGAGATTTGGCTTATCTTTACTGCTTAAAGGATTTAGCACCAGTTCAGCAAGAAAGGAGACCTCGTTTGTTACTTGCGTTCACTTGTTGCAGGCGCTCGGTCCTTGTATGGCGTCCTTTTGGGAAAACACTTGTGATGAATGGATGGTTGCTTGGTTACGTAGGAGCTTCGGCAGTTGGTTGCCTTGGTTATGGAGGGTGACGTGCTTGAAGTTGAGAGTCTGAGTTGCGCGGATCAAAGACTGTTGAAGCTTTGTGACTCTGCAGAAATCGTGTGATGGTGCAGTGAGTGAGCGCAAGTGGGAGCACGATCAAACAAAGGTGAAAGAGCCCTGAATCAGTTGTGACATTGGGTTTTAAGCGGGCCGGCTAAGTCCGTCCCAGGAGCGATTGTCCCAATCAGACGTTGTTGCAGGGCGGAATTGTTCAATCTATCACGTGGGGGAATATTTTTGCAGGTTTTGTTAATAACTTCTATAAAGTGTCCTACAACGAACACTGTTTATAATACCAACTTTTCATCCACACCAAGGTTCTGCAAATAAAACAAGCTTTCATTCAACATCAAATGTCAGGTATCTTGCATACACATTAATAACTTTATCTACTAAAAGGGGTTATAAAACATTGTTTAAACTCCATCAATTACATAAAACACATCAAGCAAAAAAGGCACAAAACACATTATTCGTGAATAAAGATGCTCTACTGGCAATACTTTAAATGATTGTCTTTTGAAATAGTCTATGCAAGTTTCTGTTCTTTGTTGGAGTGAGAAAGAGCGCGTTTTTTTGAAATGCATAGAGGAGGAGGGAGGACATGGCCCAAAGTGGGATTCGAACAGCTGATGACTCGTATCGTTGGTTCAGAGTTGATTCTATTTTTTGGATAGATCATTTTTTTATTTATATTGCACTTTCAGCTTCACAACTTTGCAGATAGTTTACATTCACATTCAGCTTCATTACACACTTCATAAAAGGTAATTTTCTGAAAAAGCATAATAGGGGCACTTTAAATGCATAACGGGTATTTTCAAAAGATCTAAGTCAAATGTTTTTCAACATTAGCATGTCTCAAACAGATAAGCTTTAGGGAGTCCTTGTTCAACTCCATTATGTTGCAATATTTTCTAAAGCAGTTTTTTTTTACTTTAAACATTTATGTTACAGCAGTAATGAGTGTCAGGGTCCCGCCCTGACAGTCATGTCTGTTCTGTCTTTGTTTAGCGTTTCCTTGTTTGTCTTGAGTCTGAGCACATGGCTTTGTCTTTATTTATGTTGGCCATGTGCTCCTCTCGTCATGCCCCCTTGTTTCCCTCTGTCACGCCCCCTTGTTTAGTCCTAGTCTAGTCCTCGTTAACTTGATTATGTCCACCTGTTCCTCATGTGCTCTGCTCCTTTATAGTGTGCCTCTTTCCTCATGTCTTTGCTGGTTCGTTGCGTTAGTTCACTGCATGTAAGATCGTTCCGTATCAGTCTACTTGTCATATTAATAGTGTTATGTTTTTCATTCCTAGTCAGTCTAGCTTTGCATTTAGTTCTCTTGAAGTTAATTTGAGTTTCTTTGTCTCTCTCTCTATTAAACTGCTGTGACAAGCCCGTGACAAATGAGTATGTATTGTAAGAAAAACCACAAGCGATTTGTAAGTGAAACTCACACAGGACGCTCCCTTTATTTGAAACATATTTCAGTAATCACTGAAAGTATCTCTGCTGTTTATCAGGTTTGAAAGGTTAACAAACTTTTTTTCTTTTATTTTTCAATTAATGTTCCCAAATGTTTGTGTTTGGATGAGATCAGGTAGGTTCAATCCAAATAAACTTAAGCTGTTCCAAAACTAAAAGCACACATGATGAGATTTTTTTTCTTTCTTTCTTTTGTTTTTATTTGATTGATTGATTTATTTTAAGATTTTGAGGTAGAGGGGCTTTCTCTATCTTTTTCTCCCAGCCCCATTGACTGCCAAGGCAAAGCTTCCACCAGGCCCAGGTGTTGCTGTAGTTCATGTGCAGAAGCTGACAGCTACACTATATCATCCATATATCTGTAAGAACATCATAATGGAAAGTGTGGGACATACAGTAGACGGATGCGCGCCGCTGAGCTCTCAACCATATTCTGTAAACTTATACATTGGATATTGATTTGCTAAAACCTTTAGCCAAGAAACACTTACGTCCATACCAGGTTAAAGATCAGCACAATAATGTGAGTGAATATCCACTTTCAGTTAATTATGTGTGTCAGTGTGCACTGGGTCTAAATTCCAAAATGTCATTGAGGGCCATAGAACAAGCACCACTGATTTTGACGAGGGGTCTGTATTCTCAAAGAGACATGATATAGAAACTTGCTGTTCAATTAAACTAAGCTAACCAAGATGAAATAATTTTTTTTACTTGAATCCATTGATAGTTTGGTGACTAGAGATGAATGAGATGGAGACTTGCATAAACATGGCCTAAGACACACTAACAGGTCTGGAAAACAAGGACTTTCAGCTAAGCCAGGGATGGCGTTATTTTACAATAAAACTAGCTGCTGCCATATTAACACTGGCATGACGCAAGTCAAATGCAAAACCAGTCCTTTTTCTTTTTTGGAAACTTGCAAACAAATCAACAGCTACAGCTTGAAGACCAGTGCAGTACAGACTTTGCTGTAAGGCCATGGAGTTGATCAACCTGTCTTTTGATGTGGTCAGCAAATTAAATTATCAAATTTAACCAAAGATGATAGAGAAGAATTTGAATGCCTCTTTGCAAATGAAAGGTAAACTTCAATGGAAGTCCATCTGCTCCTGGGGCATTTATAAAACTTTCCGTAGATTTCAGAATCAGAATGAGCTTTATTGCCAGGTATGTTTACACATACGAGGAATTTGTTTTCATGACAGAAGCTTCCACAGTACAACAGAATGACAGTGACAGAACAAAAACACAGATACAATTTTTTTGAACAAGTAAATAGGGAATAGCAATATAAAAAATTGACAATTGTATGTACAGGTATATTATGTGCAAGTTCGAAATGTAAACTAAGTATGTGTGTTAGATAAATAAGTGTATAAGTGTATAAATAGTGTTGTGTGTTCCACAGTTATTGTCAAGTGTTCATGAGATGGATTGCCTGAGGGAATAAACTGTTCCTGTGTCTGGTCGTTCTGGTGCTCAGAGCTCTGTAGCGTCGACCAGATGGCAACAGTTCAAAGAGAGAGTGTGCTGGATGTGAGGGGTCCAGAGTGATTCTGCCAGCCCTTTTGCTCACTCTGGATAAGTACAGTTCTTGGAGAGAAGGGAGGGTTGTACCAATGATTCGCTCAGCAGTCCGGACTACCCTCTGTAGTCTTCTGAGGTCAGATTTGGTAGCTGAGCTGAACCAGACAGTTATTGAAGAGCAGGGGACAGATTCAGTAATGGCGGGGTAGAACTGTTTCAGCAGCTCCTGTGGCAGGTTGAACTTCCTCAGCTGGTGAAGGAAGTACAACCTCTGCTGGGCCTTTTTAACAATGGAGTCAATGTGAATGTCCCACTTCAGGTTCTGAGAGATAGTGGTGCCCAGGAACCTGAATGTCTTCACTGCAGTCACAATGCTGTTCATGATGGTGAGTGGAGGGAGAGCAGGGGGTTCCTCCTGAAGTCCACGATCATCTCCACAGTTTTGAGCGTGTTGAGCTCCAGGTTGTTGAGACTGCACCAGACAGCCAGCTGCTCGAGCTCCTGTCTGTAAGCAGACTCATCACCGTCTTGAATGAGACCGATACGTGTGGTGTCGTCTGCAAACTTCAGGAGCTTGACAAAGGGGTCCTTTGAAGTGCAGTCGTTCGTGTAAAGGGAGAAGAGCAGTGGGGAGAGAACACAACCCCGAGGAGCACCAGTGCTGATTATACGGTTGCTGGATGTGAGATTTAATCCTAAATATGCACATACGCACAAAAGCTAAATTTTGCGCACACACAAAACTTTTCAGATTTATAAAACCATTCGTATGCCAGAACCTGTGCAAAAATCCCAGTCAGCGGAAGATTGTACGTATGTGCATCTCTACCCCATCTCCTGGCCAAAATCACCATACAGTTGTGGCCATTAAGATTTTTTAAGGCCATTAGGTTTTTTCACGGCGCAGCAGTTCATCATGCGAGATCATAGAGCTTGCAGGCACTTTTTCAGATTTTTTAAAAACATTGTTGTGCATCACACAATATCTACCAGGTGGCGCAAGGAATTGCATTCTGTAGTAAAACATTCAGGGCTGCGTTTCCCAAAAGCATCGTAAAAAATAATTTTGTAAAAGTGATCATATCACTGATCGTAATATTATGGACCGTTTCCCAAATGAATCGTAATTTAAATAGCACTTGAAAATCATTGTAGATCTACGAG